AGCCCACCTGGGCCTCCCAAAGTACTGGGACTACAGGTGTGAGCAACTGGCCTGAATGAATGAATTTAATGACAGGTGTGAAACAGGCCTATAAATGGTAAGCCCTTCAGCAAATGTTAATGGAGGGCCTACTACGTAGGGGGCCGCGTACTAGAGGCTGGGGCTGCGTGTGGCAGGGAACAGGCTGAGAGGCATCCAGCCTCGCAGAGCTGGCCTTGGGGAAGAAACGGAATAAGAGATCAGGGGACCTACAGATGATGAGGGCAGAGGCAAGGGGGGTGGCAGAGAAGTAGCCATGGGGTCCGGGAGGGCCTCTCTGAGCTGGGGACACGGGAGCTGGGTCCAGAAACACAAGAAGGAGATCTCCAGGAGGCATCCCAGGTGCTGGAACACAGAGAACAAGGAGGGCCCAGGAGGCCTCTGCTGTTGAAGGGCCTGCGGGCAGGGCTGACGGTGCCACCTGTGGGTCATCCATTCCTGGGCTCCAACCCCATCCCTGTTGCCCCAGCCCCTCCTGGCAGCCTCCATGGGTCTTCAGTTCTTGCTACCTCCAGCTCCCATCTTCCCGGGGGTGTGAGCTCCGTGCCCTCCCTGCCTGGCCTTTGCAGGCACTGTCCCCGAGGAGGCAAAGACATTTTTCCAGACTCAGCCCAGTAGGGTCGCACACTCTGCTCTGCCTTGGTCCTTACTGTCCCAAAGCTGCCAACTGCAGTTCCGGTCCACCCTCCGCCGCTTCTAGTTGGTTGTTTCCAGCCTCGATTCATTTGTTCACCACCACAGGTGCTCCCGGGTCCTCCGTGCCTGGAGGGAACGTCTTTTTCCTGGACTCTCTCCTTTCCCCATCCTGCTGTGGCCCTCAGGGGCATCCACAGCGAACCTGGGGGCTCAGGGCTGTTTCAGCAATGCAAACGCAGCAGCAGCTCTGGGCTCCGGGTTCTCTTTCCCTCCCAGCCCAGGCTCCCACCTCAACTGTCCTCCCCAGGTGCAGGGGATGTGGAGGCAGCAGGAAGCTCCTACTGTGCGTCAGACACCCAACTGGTGCCTCAAAAGTGCTCTCCTGCAGATCACCTGAGGTCAGGAGTTTGAGATAAGCCTGGCCAACATGGTGAAATCCCATCTGTACCAAAAATACAAAATTAGCCAGGCATGGTGGTGGGCACCTGTAATCCCAGCTACTTGGGAGGCTGAGGCAGGAGGATCACTTGAACCTGAGAGGTGGAGGTTGTAGTGAGTCGAGATCACACCATTGCACTCCAGCCTGGGCAAAAAGAGTGAAACTCCATCTCAAAAAAAAAAAAAAAAAAAAAGTGCTCTCCTTCCACGTTCACTTGGTGGGCAGGGTCTATCTGTACCCCCATTTCCAGAGGAGAAAACCGAGGCTCAGAGAGGGCCCAACTTGACAAGAGGGCTTACTCTCACCCTGTTGGCACTTAGCCTAGTGATGGCACACATGAGACACTTTGCAGACATTCCTGGAAGCACAGGCAGGGAGGTGAGAGTAAGAGGGGAAGGAAGGGGGGGGGGGGGAGGAGGAGGAGGAGGAGGAGGAGGCGGCGGCGGCGGCGGCGGCGAGGAAGCTGGGACCAGAAGTCAAGCCCATGTCTCTGAGCTTTGCCCCCTCCTTTACTGATACCATGACTCAGTCCCTATGGTCCGGTCCCAACTTTGTAGGGCACGAGCTGGGGTTGCTCAGCAAGTGGGGGACTCAGGGTTAAGATCTCGCCTGGCCCTGTTCTGCCGCTTGCCCGCTGTGCTTCGTGTACACAGAGGGTACTTGTGTGGGTCACTCCTGTAACCCTGGGTGGGGGTCCGCAGGCAGGGAGAGTCCCTTGTCACCTGTGCCTGAAGCCCAGTTTCTGTGTCCACAGCCCAGCTCCTCCGCTGGCCTCGTTTTGAGCGCCTGGGGTTTGCTCAGTAGTGAAGAAATTGAGAGATATCCTACTTGCTATCATCATGGGAAAAGCAGAAGGAGAGAGGGAGGGAATATATTGAGGGCGGGAGTCGGGGGTGTGCAAGAAAGGCCCAGGCTGGGCACGTGGCAGATACACCGCCGTGCTGGCTTAGGGAGGTGGGCGGCCTGAAGTCGGCGGGTCTCCATCCTAACCCTGGCTTCACGGAAGCTGAAGGAAGCGTTCCCACCCATCTTGGGTCTTCCTGGCTCAGCTGGTCTCTCTGGTTGGGCTGGAGTCAAGGCTGAGCCCAGAGCCCTCCTGGACTTCACAGTGGTACTCAGGGCCTGCGGCTCACTTCACCCTGAAGCGCATCAACAGGGCAAGGTCAAAGTAGGACCAGTCACGCCAGGGTCAGTCCCACAGGAAGGAGGGGAGCCAGCATCGTGGCTGAGGCCCTGACCTAGTCACCAGCTCACAGAGGGCAGGACACGCAGCCCCTGACGCAACTGGGGGTGAACACGGCCAAGTTCATGCTCTTTGAGCACCTCAGAGCCTTCTTGGGAAAAGCAATGACATCTTCAGCCTAAAGACAAGGATGGGAAACTAAAGCATGGACTCCAGTCCCAGGCCTGACACTTGGCGGTGGTTCAGGCAAGCTGTGACCTTCAGCTTCCTCGCCCGCTCTTCCAGTCCACAGCTCACCAGACACCTGCCCGCCAGGCCCAGATCCAGACGCCCCCAGGCTCGGGCCCACCCCGGAGAGAGCAGAGCAAACCTCCTTGCCGAGTCCCTTTGGGTCCACTCAGCCTTTCACCCACTTCACTCACCGCTTCCCTGAGGCCACCCTGGTCCCGGCTCCTGTCTCCTCTGCCTGGACTTTGCAGTAGCTCCTCACCGGGTGTCCCTCACCCAGCCAGAGGCTCCGTTAGAATCTGGGTCCGATCCCAGCCCCTCTCTTGTCTCACATAGAGTAAGGGCTAAAGTCCTTTCAATGCCCCTACCTGGCCGCACCTCCTTCCACTTCCCAACCCTCTACTCAGCTCAGGCTACACCAGCCACTTCAGCCCCGCTGCAGCTCCTGCCTCAGAGCACCTGCTCCTACTGTTCTCCCGCTGAACACGCCCGGCCCGGTGTGCACCTGCCTGGCTTCATTCCAGGTGCTTCTTCGTTCCCAGGCTGAGTTTCCCCCAGCACTTATCCCATCTGAGTTAAATGACCTATTCACTGGGTGGTTCATCGTCTGTCTCGCCTCAGTGGGAATATCAATTTAATAAAAACAGCTTTTCTTTTCTTACTTTCTTTTTCCTTAATTCAAAACCACAATCAGAAGAAACTTTCTTTTTTTTTCTTAGATGGAGTCTCATTTTGTTGCCCAGGGGCTGGAGTGCAGTGATGCCATCTCAGCTCACTGCAACCTCTGCCTCCTGGGTTCAAGCAATTCTCCTGCCTCAGCCTCCCGAGTAGCTGGGAGGACAGGCACACATCACCATGCCCAGCTAACTTATGTATTTTTAGTAGAGACGGGGTTTTGCTATGTTGGTCAGGCTGGTCTTGAACTCCTGGCCTCAAGCGATCTGCCCACCTCAACCTCCCAAAGTGCTGGGATTACAGGCGTGAGCCATTGCACCCAGCCTCTTTATTTTTTTGAGATGGAGTGTTGCTCTATCACCCAGGCTGGAGTGCAGTAGCATGATTCCGGCTTACTGCCTCCCGGGTTCAGGTGATTCTCCCACCTCAGCCTCCTGAGTAGCTGGGACTACAGGCACCTGCTGATGTGCTCAGCTAATTTTTGTATTTTTAGTAGAGATGGAGTTTTGCCATGTTGGCCAGGCTGGTCTCGAACTCTTTACCTCAAGTGATTCGCCCACCTCAGCCTCCCAAAGTGCTGGGATTACAAGCCTGAGCCACCGTGCCCAGCCTCAGAAATGGAGATTTCAGGATTCCAGTTTGGTCATTGCTTCATCCTGAGTGCCTAGAACAGGGCCTGGAATGTTGAAGATGTTGGGTGTTTGCTGAATGAATGAGCACATGAATTCCCATGGAAGAGAGCTCGTCTCTGGGTGTGGTAGGATCTTGGCCTTTGGATGCAGGGGCTGAGCCTTCTTTGACCCAGGAAGGCCCTGGTGATGGTGCCACTGCCCTCCCCTCACACCCAGGGCTGTTGCTGACTCAGCTGCCCTCAGGCTTGGCCCAGAAGGTTCCCGGAGGGTGGAGCAGTAGCCTGAGCTGCTAACAGCAGCTTCTGAGGAGCCCTGACCTGCCATCTTTGCACCCCTGAGCCTGGGAAAACCCAGCGGGTACTGCATCCTTTCCTTCAGCACGCTGCCTGAGCACCCTCATGTGCTGGGCATGGAGCCCTCAGACAAGACTGCCTTGGCCTCTGGCCTCCTGGTACTTGCTACCAGGTAGGAAGGGCGGGCCTGCATTGAAGAGGAATCCACAGGGCTGGGTAACAATGAGCATGGGGGGCCAGCAGAGAGGCTCCCTCCACAGGCAGGGGCCACCTGCAGTGTGAGCAGGAACTGTCCAGGTAAGGAGCTGGACCCAGCTACCCCACTCTGCATTCCAGCCCCAACTCTGCCGCACACTTACTATTGACCCTGGGTAAATCACAACCTCTGAGCCTCACCTTCCAGAGCTGTGAAATGGGAAGAAGCCTCTCTGTGGAGCTATGGTGGAGGGCGTGTGGAAGGGTGTTTGGGAGGGCACCTGTGCCAGTAGCTGGTAGCCCCTTCTTCCCTTCTAGCCTCCTGGGATCAAAACACCCGGGCAGGGATTCCCTAATCTGCGGAGCTGGAATGGTAGGCAGGAGGCCCTGCTACCTGAGAACCCAACTCTCAGGTTCTCAGCGGGACCCATGACCCGGAAAAGCCTGCAGAGCCCCGATTTCCTGCAACGAGATCAAACGGGGCCCCATGGCAGTGCAGGGAGTGGCACAGGAGAGGTGCCCTCAGTTCCAGTACAAGGGGCCACCAGGGCCACCTGCTACAGATGTGAATGTGCCCTCACCAGGCAAGGACACAGCAGCTTCTCTGCTCCCTGGAGGCGCCCCCAGCCTGTGGTGTGTGGGGTGGAGGGGCTGCGTGGCTGTGAGTGTTCATGGCGTACCTTCTTCCAGAGCAGCAGGGCTGTGCCCACAACACTCAGGACACTCAGGAGGCCGGTGAAGCCAAAGAGCAGGAGCTTCTGAGGGATCTGCGGGGGCTCTCGGTACCCTGTGTCTGGGAGGAAGGGCAGGGGAGCAGAGTGGTCAGAGACCCAGGAGAAGGTGGGGCACACCCACCTGATATTCTCCCTCACCCAGGACGCTGTTTTCCATGCTCCCCTGCTGACGCACTCCACACCCCACTAGGGCCCCCGGGATCTGAGCCTCGGGCCCTCATTGTTCCCCTTGGCCCTTTTTTTTTCTTTTCCTTTTCTTCCCCCCCCCAACCCCCCGCTCTCTCTTTCTGCCTTTTTTTTTTTTTTTTTTTGAGATGGAGTTTCACTCTCGTTGCCCAGGCTGGAAGCAGGACCTCAGCTCACTGCAACCTCCGCCTCCCGGGTTCAAGTGATTCTCCTGCCTCAGCGTCCTGAGTAGCTGGGATTACAGGCATGCGCCACCATGCTGGGCTAATTTTTGTGTTTTTAGTAGAGATGGGGATTCTCCCTGTTGGTCAGGCTGGTCTTGAACTTCCAACCTCAGATGATCCAACCGCCTCGGCCTCCCGAAGTGCTGGGATTACAGGTGTGAGTCACTGCACCTGGCCTCGCCTTGGCCCTTTTCATGTTCACTGCCTTGATTCTCTGTAAGGACAGGGACCACCTCGTTTGCTCTCCCGGTGCCCCAGTGACCTGGCTCCCCTGAGGGCTGCCTGTAGGGCTCTGAGCCAGTTGTCTCCCCTCTCGGGGTCTCTTCTTTTCCTGGTGTGAGGTGTTGATAATAGGGGTGGATGTGGCTAGGGCTGAAGGAGGTGGGTTTATATTGGGACTGACGGGCTGGGGCGCTGCACCAGGGCTAGGTGAGGTCCAGCCCTCCCTGTGCCATCCTCCGGTCCCTCCTGCTGTCATCCATTCCTCCTTCCCCTTTACCCCATCCATCCATCCATCTGGCTGGCAAAAACACACGGAGTGCCAGCCATGTGCCAGGCACATGGTGATTTCCCCAGCACCGCCTATAGTCAGCCACCAGCCCGTATGGGCACCATCTCCCTCATCCTCATCCAAGTCCTTGGAAGGCAGAGGATTGCCAGGAAGGCCAGGCCCAAGCTCACATCAGGCAAGCAGCGGGACAGGTGTGCAAACCTAGGCCTATGGGATTTGGAAGGCCCCAGCTCCTTCCAGGGGATCGCAGAGGTAGGTCAGAGAATCAGGGCTTCAGTGAGGGGCTCCCTCATAACTTTTGGGGTCATCACTCCTTTGAGAATGTGATGAAAACTAGCTGGTTGTGGTGACTCACACCTGTAATCCCAGCACTTTGGGAGGCCGAGGCAGGTGGATCACTTGAGGTCAGGAGTTCAAGACCAGCCTGGCCAACATGGTGAAACCCCATCTTTACTAAAAATATAAAAATTAGTCAGGCATGATGGGGTGTGCCTGTAATTCCAACTACTTGGGAGGCTGAGGCAGGAGAAATGCTTGAACCCGGGAGGTGGAGGTTGCAGTGAGCTGAGATCGCAACACTGCACTCCAGCCTCGGTGCCACAGTGAGACTCCGTCTCAGGAAAAAAAAAAAAAAAAAAAAAAAAAAAAAAAGATGGCCAGGCGTGGTGGCTCACGCCTGTAATTCCAGCACTTTGAGAGGCCGAGGTGGGTGGATCACAAGGTCAAGAGATTGAGACCATCCTGGCCAACATGGTGAAACCCTGTCTCTGTTAAAAATACAAAAAATTAGCCGGGCATGGTGGCGCTCGCCTGTTGTTCCAGCTACTCAGGAGGCTGAGGCAGAAGAGTTGGTTGAACCTGGGAAATAGAGGTTGCAGTGAGCTGGGATCGCACCACCGCACTCCAGCCTGGTGATAGAGTGAGACTCTGCCTCAAAAAAATAAATAAATAAAATATCTTACCTTGGATTCAGAAAAAATAAATAAATACATAAATAAAAATAAGAAAACGTGATGAAAACTAAAAACCTGTACCTCTAAAGGTATATTATACATGAGCCAAGTGCTCACATACACGAGGCCCCCACAAGTACATACATGCACCTGGCTAGTTCTACAGAAGTCCACCAAACCATGATGCCCATGCTCACTGAGACCAAGGGCCCGGGTGAGCTCTCTCAGGTCACCTTCCAGAGGCATCTAGGGGCCGATCTGCAAGCCAGGCCTTCCCTTTCTATACGCAGGTGGAGCCCTGGCACAGCTGCAGGCCGGGGCTCCCTGAAAAGGCTCGGTCCTGCTTTGCCAACACCGGCAGAGAAGGCAAACCATTCTCTATTTCCATGTTTTTTGTTATGTATTTTTTTAAAGATGGGGTTTCACCATGATGGCCAGGCTGGTCTTGAACTCCTGACCTCAGGTGATCCACCCACCTCAGCCTCCCAAAGTGCTAGGATTACAGGCTTGAGCCACTGCCTTTTTTTTTTTTTTTTTTTTTTTTTTGAGATGGAGTTTCGCTTTTGTTGCCCAGGCTGGAGTGCAATGGCTCGATCTCGGCTCACGGCAACCTCTGCCTCCCGGTTCAAGCAATTCTCCTGCCTCAGCCTTCTGGGTAGTTGGGATTACAGGCACGTGCCACCATGCTGGCTAATTTTTTTTTGTATTTTTAGCAGAGATGAGGTTTCTCCATGTTGGTCAGGCTGGTCTCGAACTCCCGACCTCAGGTGATCCTCCCTCCTCGGCCTCCCAAAGTGCTGGGACTACAGACATGAGCCACCGTGCCCGGCTTTCCTTTCCTTTCCTTTTTTTTTTTTTTTTTTTTTTTTTGAGACAGAGTTTTGCTCTTGTTGCCCAGGCTAGAGTGCAATGGTACAATCTAGGCTCACTCACTGCAACTTCCAAATCCCGGGTTCAATCAATTCTCATGGCTTAACCTTCCAAGTAGCTGGGACTATAGGCACCCACCACCACACCCAGCTAATTTTTGTGTTTTCAGTAGAGACAGGGTTTCACCATACTGGCCAGGCTGGTCTCAAACTCCTGACCTCAGGTGATCCACCCGCCTTGGCCTCCCAAAATGCTGGGATTACAGGCATGAGCCACCACACTTGGCCCCGTTCTCTATTTCTGATCTGGAGTCCCAAACTGCTGGTTGAAATCTCTGGGTCCTTCGCTCCCGGAAAAGCCACAGAGGAAGCCTCACCTCTGACCAGAATGAAGGTGCCGCTGCCTCTTGCCACGGTGTGTGGCCAGTGGACAGAGCAGTAGTAGGTGCCAGTGGCTGATGCGCCTGGCGGCACAAGGGTGACCAGGCAGTTCAGGGTGTAGGTCTGGTTCTCTGTGCCCGGTCCAGGGTGGCAGTTGGTTGGCTTCTCAGGGCTCCTCTGCCCATGGAGATCTTCGTGAAAGTAGCTGACTGTGAAAGCCTTGAATTGGGGGGTGTACGGGTAGGTGACCCTGCAGGTGAAGGAGACAGGTGAGTTGGCCAGGGAGGCCATGATGGGCAGGCTGCTGTGGGTCACTGACTGTCCTCCTGGAGGGGAAGCAAAGGGAGAGAATGACAGGTCACTTGAGGCTGCCTCAGTCCCACCCACTTGCAGGTTAAAACAAGGCTTGTGGCCACGCACGGTGGCTCACGCCTGTAATCCCAGCACTTTGGGAGGCCGAGACAGGCGAATCACCTGAGGTCAAGAGTTTGAGACCAGCCTGACCAACATGGTGAAACCCTGGTCTCTACTAATACAAAATCAGCCAGGCATGGTGGTGGGCACCTGTAGTCCCAGCTACTGGGGAAGTTGAGGCAGGAGAATCGCTGGAACCTGGGAGGCGGAAGTTGAAGTGAGCTGAGATCATGCCACTCCACTCCAGCCTGGGTGACAAGATCGAGCTCCATCTCAAAAAAAAAAAAAAAAAGACAAGTCTCATGCCTCCTGTGCCCCCACCTCTGCAGCTGCAGCCCCTGCCTCTCCTGCACTGGCTGTGTGTCGGACTTGTGCCAGGCGCATCACGCACACCGCTCTGCCTCTCCTAATATACCCCTAGGCAAAATGAGAGCCCCTGTTTTACAAAGGGGAAGAGTCTGAGGCGCAGGGAGCTGAGGCACCTAGCTCCTGATCCCTCAGCAGGTAGAGAGTGGAGCTCCAACCGCGTTCAGGGCTGGGAGACACCAGAGCCTGCTCTCCTAACCCTCCTCCTTCCCGAAATCCAAGAGGCCACGTGGAATAAATGCCCAGGCCTGAGAAGAGTGAAAGCTGGTGATGGATGAGAAATAAAGAAGGAGGCAAGAAAACAAAAGAAAGAAGCCCAAGCATTTCCTGGCGATAGACAGGGAGGGAGACAGGTGTAGCCACAGTTCTCCCGTGCCAGGGGAAGAGGGCACACAGGTGGCAGGAGACACAAACCTCTCCTGGACTGGGGAAGGATTTGTCAGGTTTTTGCTTTTGGGTTTTTTTTTTTGCGACGGAGTTTCGCTCTTGTTGCCCAGGCTGGAGTGCAGTGGCGTGATCTCAGCTCACTGCAACCTCCCCTCCCAAGTAGCTGGGATTACAGGCACGCACCAGCACACACGGCTAATTTTGTATTTTTAGTAGAGATGGGGTTTCTCCATGTTGGTCAGGCTGGTCTGGAACTCCTGACCTCAGGTGATCCACCCGCCTCAGCCTCCCAAAGTGCTGGGATTACAGGCATGAGCCACCGCGCCCAGCCAGTTAGGTTTTTATCTAGTGTAACAGGCAACATCCTGAGAGTGGTTTTTCCAACAATGCAGAGGTGCTCCACGTGGGACCATTTTGGCTGTGATCATGATGTCAACCGACCGTGACAAGGCCAGTTTTGCAGGAGCCACCCCTCCCCTCCAATCATCAGAGGCACTTTAGAAAACAGTTTGAAAATTCGAAAAGCAACAGCCCTCCCTGGGGGGCCTCTAACCCCTGCTGCAGGCCTCTGAGATGCTGTTTGGATCCTGAGCTGGGGGCAGCAGCCACCCTCTGCCCCAGACTTCAGTTGCTCAGGGCCCTCAGCTTCAGCGTTCCCAGGCGCTCCAGGCCCTGCCTTCTCTAGCAGCTGAGCAGCAGACAGTTCTAAATTGAGGTCGGCAGCCAGCAGCCAAGAACATGCAGGCTGGTTTGTTACTTGGGAGAAGATAGTGTGTTTGAGATGCTCAGAGGAGCCGCAAGATTTATTTTGTTGGGGAAAGTGAGGTGCGGGCGCTGCCTGTGGTGTGGGGCTGGAGTGAGGCCAGGCTGACTCTTCCCAGGTCTCTTCAGTTCAACTCTGAGCCAGAGCTCTGGGAGGGGCGTCCCAAAGGGAGGCCAGCCTTCTGGAAGATGCAGGACAGACACGGAGTCGGCCCCGCGTTTCAGTTAATCACTCAAAACTTTAGCCACGCTGATATTTTGAGCTTCTTATTGAGCCACTAAAAGAGACGCCCCCAGGCTGGGCAGAGTGTTTCATGCCTGTTATCCCAGCACTTTGGGAGGCCCAGGCGGGCTGATCACCTGAGGTCAGGAGTTTGAGACCAGCCTGGCCAAACATGGCGAAACTCCATCTCCACTAAAAACACAAAAATTAGCCGGACATGGTGGTAGGAGCCTGTAATTCCAGCTACTTGGGAGGCCGAGGCAGGAGAACATTTGAACCTAGGAGGCTCATGTTGCAGTGAGCCGAGATTGTGCCATTGCACTCCAGCCTGGGTGACAAGAGCAAGACCCCGTCTCAAAAAAAAAAAAAAATTGTACGAGACAAGAGGGGTGGGGTGAACCACAAATGACATTGCCACCGACCCCACCCTGCAGCCCCACACAACACTCACAGGCCAATTCCCCCTCTGTGCCCCTATCCTGGGGGCCCCTCGACCTGTGACCTCTGTCTCCTCACCGGGGCCTCCTGCTCCTCCTCACGGTGTAGCTAAGAGGCCACTCCAGGGGGGGGACAGACACAGTCAGCACCATGAAACCTTCCTGTTCCTCCTGGGCAGGAAGACTTCAGACCGACTGTCTTTAAAAATTCTCCCCGTCTGAAGTATCCTTCTAGAAAACGATGAACTCTGCTATCACAATTAAGCCGATCTTTATAATTCCAGGGAAATCTATAAAATCGGATGGCCATTGTTCTGTATTCTTTTGGGATGTGTTATTTTAAGGTCAGAGTGTTAGGATCATGAAAACGCTCGGCTCTGGCTCAGGTCTGCCACAGCAAGGCGAGGTTTTGAAGCAAAAACGTCAGACCTCTGATGAAACTGCTGTCTCTAAAAAGTGAAGAGAGGAAGCAGTCTCTGACCAGCTCCATCAATAACAACAGACAGTCTGGAGACATCAGGCCAAAAAACCCAGGGAGAGGACAGCAAGTCTGCAGGCACTGCCAAGACCTCCAGGCTCTGGCCTCTGGATGCGGCTCACTGCCTCCCCTGAGCCTTCCTTTCACTGGGTGTCAGTACCCCTGAGCTGGACCCCTGCAACTGCCCAGCTCCCACCCCATCTCCTGGACCCGTGCCTCCCAGAGGCCCCTTCAGGGTACAGGCCGTAGAGGGTCCAGGCCCTGGTTGGCTGCCAACTAGAAGCGGTTCCCCATGACGGCTCAGTGCTGAAGATAGGTGTCATGGTCATTTCCAAGTCCACAAATGCTTTTCAGCTGTCATTGGTTTGTAGCACTTCCATGGGGGTCCTGAGCAGGCCATGACCATGCCCCACGGGACTTGAGGCCAACTCTACAAGCACCCAGAGCCCAGGGCCAGCCTCCCACGCGCCTGACAGACGCGGCAGGTCTTTTCCACCTCCACCAGCTTGATCAGTGGGGACGAACAAGGAGGGGGTCTGGGCAGGAAAGAGAAGAGGGACCTCGCCCCTCCCCCTCACACAGGACGTGGGTGACATGGAGAACCACTTCAGCGTCAGAGTTTGAAGTTTCGTCTGTTACACAGGGTTAGAGATGTGAAGAACTGGGATTCGTGTGACTTCCGGTGACCATAGTACTTTGACTTGGAGGAACTAGGTTTTGCAGGGAGAAGCCCTCCAACACCAAGGTGTCTAGAGGGCCTAGGACCTGCTCCCGCTGCTTTTCTGGTCATTCTCCAGGTCCCAGGGACCTGGGGCAGGTGAAGCTGGGGTTGGCCCTGGGGCGCAGGGAGGAAGCGTCTCAAGGAGCCCCAGGAGTTTTCTGTGCAGGGAATGGATTGGATGCCAACCTTTTAGAGAACTTAGGAGGATTCTCCATTTGCCCTCCCGGTGGAGAGCAGGGCCTGGAGGTGGCTGCAAGGAGCTCCCCTGGGACTTGGGGAGGGCAGAGTTGGAGCAGAGGGTGAGGAGGGGCCGGTGAGGGTGTGAACTCCCCGGCCTGTTCTGCCCTGCTGGGAGGGAAGGCTGCAGGGGCAGGGAGAGTTTGGCTCCTGGGGAGTTTTCCGGATAGGAGCCTCTCCAGCCTGGTGAATGTGGACGGGATGGTACAGGGAGAGGGGAGAGGGCACCCGGCTGAGGACCATGGGGGAGGAGGGCAGCAGGGCAGCAGGGTCGAGCAGGAGGGCAGCAGGGCCACCAGAGGCAGGGTTGCCACAGGTGTCTGGGAGGGCCCCACCCCAGGGCTTGGCTATTTGTTCTGAGCCTTCAGCTCCTCCCTGTGGCTCCCCACCCCCACATGGCTGCAAGCACAGACATGTCATCTGGGCAGCACCATGCATCCTGCTCCGTCTGCCCACCCTGCTATGCCGCTATACCGGAGACTGTGTTTTGGGGCGGTACACTCCCCCATCCCTCACTTCCCTGCAGCTCCAGGGAAGTCTCTCCCACACTGTGAGGAAGCCTTGGGCCTGGCCAGAAACAGGGGCGATGAGTGCAGGCATCTGGGAAAGCCCAGGTTTTGGAGGCAACAGGCCTGGATTCAGCTCCTGGCTCGGCCACTTCCAGGCTGTGCAAACTTGGGCAGGCGGCTTAACTTCTCTGACCTCAGTGTCTCCCTGCAACACAGGGAGAGCAACAATGCCAACCTTTAGGGGCTGTGGCGGGGTTCACTGGACCTGGAACCCAGCTCCTTGCCAAGGGCCAGGCTGCCTTTCTCCAGGGAACAAGAATGAGGCAGGGAGTCCTCCTTGAGGATTTTCAAAGGCAAATGCCAGCTGGGTGTGGTGGCTCAAGCCTGTAACCTCAGCACATGTGGGCAGACCACATGAGGTCAGGAGTTCAAGACCAGCCTGGCCAACATGGTGAAACCCCATCTCTACTAAAAATACAAAAAATTAGCCAGTGTAGCGGCACACGCCTATAGACTCAGATACTTGGGAGTGTGAGGCAGGAAAATAGCTTGAACCCAGGAGGCGGAGGTTGCAGTGAGCCGAGATCAAGCCACTGTACTCCAGCCTGGGCAACAAGAGCTATCTCTGTTTCACAAAAAAAAAAAAAAAAAAAAAAAAGAGGCAAATTTGGGGGTTTGGGAAAGCCCGGGTTAAATGACATACCCTACCCTTCTTCGTGGTTAAATGACACGCCCTCAGCACAAGGGACACAGGCCCTGATGGTCCAGGAGCAGCAGGACCCCCAGGGGCCT